TCAATCAATCAATCAATCAAATGATCGAGCAACAAATATTCTATTATTTACATATCTAAAACAACGGCGATCTCGTAACCGCACCAGCATTACTTTCGTTTTCGTAACATCTCCGCTAAAAAAATAGTTAAAGATAAACGCCACATATTTCCAGTTTTTACGCGCATCTAATAGTACCATCTACGACCCTGCCTGCCTCTTAATGATCCGAACTGTCTTCTCTTTACTTCTTGACTTTTTTTTCTCCATCGAACTGTAGAGAACAAATAAAACATGCGAGTTACAATCGATTTACATATAAAAGTAAAGTATTCTATCTGAAATTTTGTAACTGCAAAGAAAAGATATTTCTTTTTTCTTTCTGTTTTTATTTGTTTTTTTTCTTTTCTAATAGTTCTCTAATAGTTCTCTAATGGAACTTTCACCATTGTCAAAGCGTTTCATTTAAAAGTATACAACCATATATATGTATATATGTTGTTCATATACAGCCATTATATATGAACAAGCTCATTCACGTTTGTCATATATATATACAAAGAGAAAAAAAAAAAGGAATTATTACAAAACAGTGGAGGCAGTGCCGAGTGTTTTAAATGCGATAATAGCCTCTAATTTTATTACATAGCTGCTGTATAATGGAGCAAAGTATTTCGCGCTCACTTAGAGAATGAGATTTCGCGTTCAAGAAAGCGAATTTTTATACAATCACATGACATTTAAAAAGACAAAGACAAATAAAGCAAAATCACAAAAAAGAATTAGTCAAACAATGAAATGTTTTCTCGTTATCCTACATATAGTACAAATGCAATAATAAACGTTATATATGGCATCTCCCGAAAAAGCTTAAAATTGTTGGGATGTTCGTACAAAATATTTACTATATGTACAAATTCTCTCTTTTTTTCTATCTCATTTTTCGTTACTCTCGTACTCTCGTTCCTTTTCATTCTATTTTTACATAGATATCAAACAAACAACAATAACTTTCTCTTACGACCCATCGGTATGACGTTAACTTAATCATCCGTATACTTAATCAAATCTATGTATATAACATGTACACGTATAATAGCGCTCTACAAACAGAGGGTGATGTCATATCTTTTCGTTTTGTCGTCGCAAAGCTTTCAAATATTCTGAAGAGCTCGTCCAATCAATCTTGATTTATTTTCTACAAGTATAATGTGTACATGTGTGTATGCATGTGTATGTATATGTCAGTCTTGAGCCACTTTCATAAAAGATTTCTACTTTTATGATCAAGTCGTCTTTCACCTTGAACTTTTTCATATCAATAGCATATTGGCACATTCCTCCTAATACGTACACTTATATTTCATACATATATAATATGAATTATATGTATATATATATATACATATAATATATATATACATACACACATACATATATATATATATATATATACATGACATATATTATATATAATATACATATGTATTCTATATATATAGAAAATGTGATGTACTTATTTTTCTGATCATACCTCGTAGTATGTGAATGTATCATGTTATTATGTGCGATACCTTTCGTGAATTTATGCTATTACTAGTGGCTCATCATCGGAAAAACCTCGAATCACTGGACTATCTTCTTCCTCTGAAATCGTAAAAGTAGAAATTTTAAAACATCTTCATTTCTTGTTAAAATAAATAATAAAATTATCAAGATTGTGTAATAAATTGATGATGAAGTCGATTAAATCCCGAAATTAGATGGATTATAAATTTACCTAAGCCGTCTGTAGTACCCGGGAAAGTTGCTTGTCCACGTCTAGTATCATAGTGACTGTTAGCAAATTGTGTAAAACTATTGGTTAATCTTCTGTGTCTAACAACAAAATATGCCAATGTAGATCCTAAAGCGACGATCAACAAACAGATTGGTATCGCAAACGAAAGAATGTTGGACGTATTTATAGTCACTGGTAACGATGATACTTCTGAAAAGATTGATTTTTTATTGATTACTATTACGTCTTTGAATTATTTTCTAAAAAGATCAATCAAATCAATTTCTATAATTTTAATTAATTCTCTTATGTCAAAAAATGAAATTAATAATTCATTATTAGAATTATATTAAAATTATTAATATTAGATCAAAATTTTATTTAAACAATTACTTGCGCTATATCTGGTGCTAAAAACTTCGCTCAAAGAACTTTGGTAGCCTTCTTCTGTAACTAAACGAACGGCAAACGTGTACATAACATCTGGCTTCACATCTTTGTATATGTACGGTGGCTGATCGATCTTATAAATCTTCGCAGTTGACTCGTTCATCATATGCGATCCCTCCACCACCAAAATTTCGTAATGATACTTTTCGTCTTTCATATCTGGTAGATCATGTTCTTCCCAGTAAACAAAGAAACCTTGTTCCTCGTGTAAGACCTTCACCTGATGAGGAGGCGGAATGTCTGGTGCCATATATAGAACCGGTTGACTTGCTATGGCATCCTCAACATCTGTAGATATTGTTATTCGATACTTGCCACCATATTTAATTGAATTGAACGTGTGTTTCATAACAGATTCGTTTGTTGATGGCAAAGTCACTACGAAATGTTTTTTGAGTGTCGATTCTGTTACGGCGATCTGTAATTTTTAAAATAATAAGTCTTGAAAAATTTTATGCTATTTTCTAATTAATATTCAAAAATAACAATATTCTTTTAACTTAAAGGGGGAAAAAGATACAATGCAAAAATTCCAATTGTAAAAATTCCTTATTCACCGTGTATCTAATTGGTTCGTCGATGTTAGGACAGCTGGCACTCCAAGAAATAGTTATAGTATCCAATTTCTCTGTTGGGGTGACTTTTAGCTTCTTTGGAGGAGCCCGTTGATTGAAATGTGTGAAGACAGAAACTGGTTGACTTAATGGCCCAGCACCATAATCTCCATTCACGCCTACTGCGAATACATAAGACTCACAAGCTTCCAAATCTTTGATAGTCGCTGACAAGTTCGTCGTTAGAAGTTTATACGCTAGAAATGAAGTTAATTTTCAATTAATGATTGTCAGTAACAATTCTTTCATTTTTACAATTTATATTACAAAGACTATTACATTCAAAAAATTCCACCATATTCACTGCATAATGAATTCCATACTGCCACTTAATTTTCCTGGTGCTTTTAGGCGGATCCCAAGTAAGTTTTACCGAAGTTCCATGCGGTTTCACTAACTGGGCGACTAATTTTGTGACAGTCGGCAGAGGCGTTCCCTCCGTGGTTGCACTAATAGTCTTAGTCTTTCCAACGTAGTTCTTCCTTTTGGCACCGATCTCGAAAGTATACATGGTTCCTGGAGCCAATCTCTGTATCTCCGCGCGATTCTCTTCCACAACAATCTGTGGTAGGCCAGGATACTTCGCTGGACCTCTCGGAGTAATGACATAACAAACATTCTTCATCTTCTTCCATGACAAAGTTACCGAATGATTGGTGAGTGCTTCCACTTTGAGGTCCTCGATATTGTCTATATTAGTGGATCCATCAAAGATTAAAGTAGCTACATTGGACGAGGCAGACTCTCGTTCCTTGCTTTTTGCTATTACCCAAAATGAATAATTCTTTCCTGCCTGAAATGGCATATCTAATATTGCGGAATTTTTTTGCCTGAAGAATCGTACAGGTGGTATTGGTGGTGCTACGAATCCTTCGTAACCAGTGATAGGTCCGTTCGGATGAATAGGTGGGTTCCAGGTGACTTCCACGCTCGTTCCATTTCTTTGAGTCACGGTCACATTCCAAGGCTCTGAAGGGACACCTTCGCCCGTTGTAACAACCAAATACTTGGCTGGTGGGAACACCGTAGTTTGCCCCTTTATTCTAACGTGAACTGTCATATTATAACGAGTATACGGTTTCAGATTATTAAACTGATACTCCATATCGTCGATCCATTTGCTGGCGTTAGTCCAGTTCGCTCCAGGTACGGCGTACGCTATCGAAGGTAGAAACTCGAAAGTGACGTTGGTGGGCACAGGCATCCACCAGTACAGAAACAAACTGGTAGCGTTGACCGACCGTTCGTCCACCCCCATTACAAGTACCTGATAAACGCGTGAACTATTTTTTTCGCAGTTGCTCTCATCGAAACCGTCCACGCAATCTTGTTTGCCATCGCAGTATGCAGCCAAAGGGAAGCACCGTGTCTCGTCGCAGGGGAACAAACCAAAGAAACAGGATGGTGTCGCTGCCGGGCTAGAATGTTGCTCGTCAGAGCAACCCAACTCGTCGCTACCGTCTGGACATTCCTCCACTCCGTTACAAACACTTCTTATAGGAATACATGCGCCGTCCATACGACATGTGAACTGATCTTCTCTGCAGGAGGTTTGATCACTGTCTGCACAGTGCGCCTCATCCTCGCCGGAAGTACAATCATTGGAACCATCGCAGACCCACGAATCCTGTATACATTCGCCGTTCAAACACTGGAACTGGTGTTCCCGACAAACCTTGGCTTGCTCTGTCGGATACACCACGGTCCACTCCTCAACTTCCTCATTACCACAGCCCATTTCGTCTGAATCGTCTCCGCAGTCGTCCACGCTGTCACATTTCCACCAGTACGGCACACACTTCTTGTTGTTGCACATGAACATCCAATTATTGCAAGGGCTATTCGGCAAAATCGGTGCCAATGATGGTGGGCGTACGGTAGCAGTACAGTTGGCTTCGTCGGATCCATCGGCGCAATCTTTGTCCCCATCGCAAACCCACGAATTGTATATGCAACGATATTTACTGTGCGACAAATTGCACGTGAACTGCCAGCTTTCGCATGCCATATCGCTACAGTCATTCTCGTCCAAGCTGTCCTCGCAGTCTGGTTCCCCATCGCATTTCCAACTAGCCGGTATACAAGTTCTATCTGCCTTGCAAGAGAACTCGTCGGACCTACAAGTGCCAGGGAATACTTTCTTGGCACAATCTTTCTCATCGGAACCGTCCCGACAATCGTTCTCGTCGTCGCAACGCCACCTATGGGAGATGCACCTACCATTGTCGCACCTGAACTGCGACTCTGTACATTGCGGATACTTGCAGTTCATCTCATCCTTGCCGTCGCTACAGTCATGATCGAAATCGCACACCCAATGCTTCGAGATACATCTGTTATCATCGCACTCGAAATTTGGCGTACATGTTGTGTGTGGTGTGCAACCGATTTCGTCTGAATTATCGCCACAGTCATTGTCTCGATCGCATCGCCATGATGCTGGGATACATACATCATTAGCACAAGCAAATTGATTTGGAGCACACGTGCTGGCAACTCTGGGGCACGTAGAATTGGAAAATGGGGCGATTCCCCCTGGACACATGCACTTGCCGTCGATCATTTCCATTCCGTCAGGACAGAGGCAAACATGTCCGCCACGAGGCGCTCCCACACAAATGTGTGAACAAGTACTATTGGCGCAAGCGTTGGTACCATGCTGACTACTATGCGCAAATACCTTAAGGTCCATCAGACCAGGTAAGTGACCTATAATGGTGGTAATGCCAAAACCATGATCCTTATCTGCAACAAATATCATAGACTGTTTCCAATCGTCCCAATACATGTTGTCCTTGAATACTGCTATAGCAAAAGGATGTGACACTTTGTCACTTCTGGAGATCACTGTCTTGAATTTCTTTCCATCAAAGTCACTAGACCCAATGTAATCTTGCCTGGCGTCCACCCAGTAAATACGTTCCGCTATGTGATCGATAGTTATTCCATTTGGCCATTCGACGGTTGGCTCTACAAACAGTCTCTTCACTTCAGTTCCATCAAGATTGGCTCTTGACACCGAAGCATTTCCTGGAGCCCAATCAGTCCAAAACATATATCCGTTCATTGGATGAACCGCTATTCCTCTAGGTTTTTGTAGATTGTTGGGCCCTAGGATAGTCCTTCGCATCCTTCCCATGTTAGACACGTCTGTTCTAATCACCTGTATCCTCATTTTAACGCCATCAACGACATACAATAGATTAGAGACCCAATCAAGCGCCATTCCTTCTATAGAACTCAAGTCGGTTTCCACAAGAATTTCGGGATAACTCGTTCCATCTTTGAAACATTGTCTACCTATAGTGTCGTTAACAATATCCGCCCAGTACAGACAATTGTTCCTCATGTCGAACTCAATTGCTATAACATTCTTTAAGTCGTGGATAGGTAGTGTTACCAATTTCTCATCCACTAAATCAATCCGCGAAATGTGCTCACGTTGAGCCACCAATAAGAATCCGGGTTTTTCCTCTATAGGACATGGAATTTCATCTGGTTCGAAATTTCTCGCTAGACCACCTACACATTCGTCATCGCTTATCTTGATATAACCCTTCGTTCGATTATAAAATGCACCAGGTTCGCAAGTAGTCGGTATAACATAAGGGTCATAGAAAGCCATGGATTTGTCTCTGATACAGTGATTTTGATCCCGTACAAAACCAAAATCGCATTGATAGTCCTTAAAATCGCATTCGCATATTTCCGTTCTTATTGGCCGATCATAATCTATCCCTGTGTAACAATTCGCTTTCGCTGCTCTTCTTTGATAAGTCTCCTTTCGACCTAACACACAAGCCACCATTGGTTGATCAACGCTTGTTGGTGACCAAAATTTAAAATCATCCTTGGTACAATCTCTTTCGAACACATTCCTCAGATCAACCTTAATTATTAACCATTGGTGCTGGCCGCTAGCTGAACCGAACATCGTGAAAACTGTAGTATTTTCTCCCGGTTCTGTCATCAGTCCATATACTCGTAACATTTTCTCATTAAATTCGTACGACTGCCAAGTCTCCCCTTCATCGATAGAATATGAAATATCTCTGGTTTCTCCGCGTGACTTGAAGTACTTAACCGCTACCAAAATACCACCATGATCTCCCATATTAAAGAAGTAGTAATCCTTGAGGACCTGTTTCCAAGTAAGGCCAGCATCTCGCGACACATACAGAGCAGGATGACCTTTAAGATTCGGTCCTATCACTCCGGTGGCCATTATAATACCAGGAGCAGATTTCGAACTCATAATAGATACCGATCTTGTCACAGGATACAGCTGACTGAGACGCTGACTTAAATGCAACGAACAATCTTTAGTACAATGAATGTAGAAACCTTCATGATTAGCAGTAGGTGGTTTTATATTATTCCAGGTCGCGCCATGATCGAACGTTATCAAGGAAACTAAATGTTCGGGTCCAATAGATCCTGATTTCGGTGTTCCTTTTACTTGTGATGCTATATAAATGCCGCGAAGGCCTTCGACTTTGTACAAGTCAGCAAATGCTTCGTCTGCCACGTCACTGGAAAAACCAGATGTACAGATTTATTACGTTTTCTTTATCTTATCAAGTGTTTATTTACATATACTATTATGTCAAATTTAAAGTAATTACTTTAACCAACTGTCTTTCCAAGTACTGTTCGGGAAAAATGTGAAGATTCCCTCGAGAGATAACGTAAACGTAGCCATTTTCTGATCTATAATCTCTGATACGTAAAGATTTACTTGCGTCTCACTGTGAGAAGCCGTAACGAAAACTCTATTGTGTGAAACATCGACGACATAATAATCCTTAATTGGCAAAGCCGTATTAAATTCTGCCTTGACAAAACTAAAATTTTTGTAAGACACGTAAAGATCCAGATGTTCCGTACCATTCTGTGAAAAGAAAAATTTTCCTCAATCATAATTTACTTTTAATCACGTACACGACAAAGTTTCAACAAACTCAGTTTATTACGTGCCTTCATTTTCTTTGAAGTGGCAAATCTATAATCGCCTCTAATTTGAAAGTCTTCCACGTCTGAGATAATTACTGTCAATGGTTCCGAGCGTGCCACTGAGTCTTTCAATAAATTATTCTGCAAATCAATTTGATAAACGGTGTTTCTTCCATCAGAATGCGCACGTTCAATTATCAAAGCAGCTGAAGATGACCAAAAAAATGCTTTTACAGACGGACGCAGCATTGTCCATGTGAAACCCGTATTCGTTGACAACCACAGCTGAAAATATAACAATATAAAATTATTTTTCTGAATTGAAAATTATTCTTAATGAAAGGCTACGAAACTTACATTGGGTACAGAATTGACTTTGTCCAAAGCAAGGACAATATCAACATCCATTTCGTAAAATGATATTTCGCTAGGATGAAACCATACTCGCACTCTATTTATCATTTTTCCATTATCTGGTGTGATGAAAAGTAACTTGTTTGTACTATCCACGAAGATACACTGGAAGGAAATTAAATTATAAATAAAATTAATAAAGTATAAAATGAAATTAACAGAATAATAGAAGAATTAAAAATTAACTGAAACAGAAAATTACAGGATACAGTATTAATAAAATATACACTTACGAATCTATTATATTTTGGATGATTAGTGAACTTGTCCAGAGTAGCATATTGATCATCTCCAATTCGAAATTTTTCAGTTATATTAACAAACGTATCACCATAATCATAACTTATGTACACAGCACTAGGATTAGTAGATAGAGGGACTCTGCCCCTCATCACTGATGTACTATCCCTTGCCAAACATATTATCACATTGGACTTTTCTCCCACCCAGTGAACTATCAGCTGTTGATGAGAATCATTTAAAGCATTGACCTATGGAAAAAAAATAAAAAACAATTAATATATGAATTTCAAAAATAAAATTTTCAGGGATAAAATCAGTTATTACAATATAGATAAGAATAAGCTGAAATTTAAGAAAAACATTTATTTATCTATAAATACAGATATGACGTAGAGGAAAAAATATTAAATTGTTTACATATTATTGACATATAATACAACAAAGTTTTTCCTTAAGTCTAGAGGTCAGATGTGTATGAGTCAGTGAATAATTGCAATTCATGGAAGAAAATGACATATTCCTTACTGTGAAAATATATACAGAAAAAAATTGTGATGTAATGAATCTAATAATAAATCATAGTATAATGTAGTATAATTTAACAAAATGACACACAATGAACAAATATTATTAATTTATTATGAATTGTATGATAACAATTTGAAATATATATTATTATACATATAAAATATATTATATATACAGAGGTATTATCAATTTATATTGTAAGCTCCAAAAATCACGAGATAAATTTTTATTTTTCTCTTGGGCTTAAATAACTTCAAGGACAATATTGCTGCAATATGATTACATTATACTTATGAAAAAAAGTGAAAGGAATTTGTGAGAAATTATTGGCAATATTTATTCATTAATTTAATATTTATTCTGCACATATTATTTCACATTTTACATTATTGTACATGTAATTTATAATTTCATGTTTTTGAAAACAAAACATTTATTTAACTTTATTTTGAAATAAATTTAATTTTATTATAATTATTGTTCTGTTAATTGACTAATGGAGCTTATAGTAAAAAAATAAAAAATACAATTTATATACATTAAAATTCTAGTTATCAATACAAGTGACTAATAATTAATTTACATAGTTTATTTTATCTCTTAACTGCTTCATATTCCTTTGTTGTCATCCACACAAATACTTTAAAATATAATGTTACTTTGGATTTAATTGTATTCACTGGAATGATTCGTATTACCTATGAGTAAGTGTTATATATTACTGCATCAACAGAATATATTTCATACATGTATACGTTTGTTAATATAAATACGCATACTTGAAGAAAAATAAAACTGTTAGATAAACTGAAAGATAGGATTATTTCATTTTATTTATTACCTTATATATTTCATTGATTTTTATTTCCAGTAAATTCTAAATAAATAGTTTTAAAAAAGAAAGTCAAAGTATACCTCTATCTAATTACTTCAGAAATCGAAAAAGATAAAACAAAACGGATAACAAAGAAAAAAAGATACAATATCAACTGTAACAATGATTTCTACGATTTCGATCTAGATAAATATGAAGCAACGATATACTAGCGATTCTTTTCGCTGAGTAACCTTATTTGCAATTTATGAGCAGACAATACGATAAACATTAAACATGTAATTCATTTCAATTAGAATAAATCGTCAGTAGGCAGAGTCCGTCCAGCTGACAACTTAAGACAAACAAAAGATCGCGGTTATTCGATAACAATCGATAGAGTGCATTATGTACTCGAAATACGGATCGGTTGTTCACTAAAAGGAAGATAGAAAAATGAAAATTAATGAAAAACATGAGAATCCGTTGTAGAAAATAAAGGAGTCGAATAAAGCGGTTACTGACCTCTGCATGTCAATAACAGAACAACTATGACGCGTTACTCCGTTTCGTCAAGATTGATTAAATTTAGTCCGGAAGGGACATAATATGGCAATTACGTTCTCCGCTGTTGAAAGCACAAAGGCAAGCACTGTATATGCCGGTCTTATTAACTACCGCGTAAAATTATAAAATCGCACTTTATCGGCGAATAACAAGCACGGGCAACGATAAGAGAGCAAAAACAACGTAAATTATGCGGGAAATAAATTGATGGCATTGCCGTTGCACAGATTTTATCAAAAGAATCCTGTCGATGATAAAATATTAAAATGAAATATCGTACCTTCGTTGTAATGTTTGGGTTGTTATTTGGAAATAGCGGAACATCCCTGCGCGTTCGACTAGCTGATGCTTCTCTCACATCTGAATGATCATCTCGATTTATGACAAGAGGTTTTCTATAACTGTAAGATTCATAATCCTCTGCGATATGAAGTGTTTTCGCTTTTAAACCGAATCTCTGCCCATTATTAAAACTTGTTAACAGTATTAGATGTAAAATAATCGCGGAATAATAAAGAGCCGAAGTCATCCGGCCGGCCATCTTGCTCAGACTGACTTTCTTTAATCACCATGTACAAATATATATAACTAGATGTATAGGATGTTTCATAACATAGGGTCACGCTATAGTTCTATTAAAAAAAGAAAAGTTCTATTAGGAAAAAAATTAAACGACGCACATGATTGTTGTATGTATTTATTCCAAAAATGGAATTTCGTAAAGTTTAAAATTATCATATATATATATATATAAGAGAAGCATCGAATTTAAATATTTAGTATTAGTTTTAAGAAAGGAAAAAAAATTAATTAATGCAAAAACACTACGTCTCTCCTTGTATGTAATAGAATAAGTTCTATCAAATTAAAGTTTAAATATCATCTATA